ATTTGATACTCCTCGTAATACCACATTGCCGTAGTGCCAGGGCTCGAATCTCCTTGCCCAAGATATTTGGTGTGAAAATCAACCCCGATTGCTGACAATCGCCCTAGCCGCGAACTGTATAGCCGCGACAGCTATGCCACAAAGAATCCGACGCGCCGAGATTAATGACAAGCTTGAGGAAGCTCGATGTGGCTATGATGTATCAACATCTACAAATACGCTTATCGATATCGGCTGTGCATGACTCGCATGAGCTAGCATCCGACAACAGCAGCTTGAAGTCTACGGATGCCTCGATACTTTGAAGGCCATCACACCATCTTGTTATACCTATGGAATCTTTCTCAATGGCATGCTGATCGCCAGGGGAACGGCCAAATTCCGACGATAGATAATACCGCGATCCATAAACTTGGGTTCGGCCTTGGTAAGGCGCCGAGCATTGGCATGCAGTCATTCCTGGGCATCGTCACTTGTGTGGACAAAACCCATGTTGACCTTCCTCTTTGCGCAAAGAACGTGAGCTAGCTTGACTACAGAATTGGGATGGCTGGACTCTTATCGCGACATGTCAGGACTATAAAGCAGAGCTGGTGAGTGAACACAGCTTTTCGGGTCCCAGCCAGCTAACACGGCAATGCAGCTCATTCCCACTATAGCCGCCGCTACCGCGGTCCTCACCGGCAGCGTGTCTGCTGTGAACTTCACCGGCGATGTCGTGAATGGTGTCCCGGTCATCAGCGGCCTTGACCTCGCTGATGTACCTCCGCAGACTGTCTCGAAATACTACATGCGAGCTGGTGAGCTTAATGGCGGTCACCCTGTCCACATACCAATTATGGTTGCACGTGGAACACCAGAAAGTTTGGAAACGGGCAAAAAACTGTCACTGTCAGCTTCCATTCATGGGGACGAGCTAAACCCGGTTCGCGTGGTGCAACGCATCTTCGAGCAGCTTCAAGACCAAGTCGCGACACTCAATGGCACAGGTACGCTCTATAAATCTCTGCGAAGATTGCTGCTGACTTTGAGGTAGTCATTGGTATTCCCACTGTGAATCCGATGGGCATCTACTTGAACCAGCGAAACTACTTCACCTCAGGCGCTTCAGGATCGCTTACAAACGTTAACCGCATCTTTCCTGGTACCGCAGCCACGGAAGGAGGTAGTGGCCCTCAAATTCTAGCTTACAACATATGGAATCAGATCTGGGCAAACACATCCAATGTGGATGTTGGCATTGATCTCCGTAAGCTCTCCCTGCATCCAACCTCAGCAACATAGAGCTAATTCTAGTGCAGATACCCCCAGTTCTGGCGGAGAGACTTCGCTGTGGTGCTATTCTGACTTCCGCCTACCCTATGTGGAGCGTCTGGCCAAGCTCCTCCAACCCGATACTCTCAAGATTGATCCTGGTGAGCCAGGATCCATCGAGACAACTTTCGTCGATTATGGTGTTCCTTCACTCACTGTGGAGATGGGCCAGGCAAAGGTTTGGAACAACAGCCTGATCGACCGTGTAGTCGATTATGTGAACCGCGTCATGGTCGACCTCAAGATCACACCTACCAACGAAACCGTGGAGCCCGACCTGAGCAACACATACATGATCACTACTTTCCATGATACATGGTCACAATATGGAGGATTCGTCGAGAGGCTTGTAGCTGTCGACGAGCCAGTCACCAAAGGCCAGCCTATTGCTCACATCCGGAACCCGTTTGGTGATATCATCGAAACACTACTCTCGCCAGAGACTGGACGTATGTTCCAGAGCCCACGCGACCCTAGCATCGAGCCTGGCGGCAGTGCTGGACAGATTGCTTACAACAGCACGGACCCAGAGTGTGCTGATGGTTGTATCCTGTCGGGTCCTCAAGGAAGAAGATAATGGAAGGTTTTGTGCAGCATCACAAGAATACATAAAGACACTCAACTTGGATTCTTCTTCTTCATACTGAAGACGTGAGATTCTCTAATATCTATACCATGATTTTCGTGTGATGTCCACCGAAGCATTAACCAATAATACGTCACACCAACAAATTGGCCTTACTATTGCATACTTGGGCTGCAATAACAAAGCCGTTAGGCTCTAGCAAAGCTCTGACTTGCTTTAGGGATGACCTTATCATCCTCCCATGTGATCGAGGACGTTGACCCGCCAAACTCTACTCACAGTCACCACGCAAGCACTCTATCACGGTAAATCTCTGCCTACATGAACTATAAACATTGATTAATTTGATTAATTCATTACTCCCACATACAGTGCTTTAAGCAACTATTCAGATCGCGGTCTTTGTAGGTAAACAGAGCTCACCAATCGTGTCGTACTGCAGCTCATATCGTCATACAACAGTCTTCTATGAAGAAATTATCTATGCTGATGAAGGCTCTCGCTCCTGGGCAGGAGCTCCACCAGTGTTACCCCTCTGACCGGTAGGCACGTCGTCGAGATTCCTCTGAGCAGCGTGTGTAGGGTCATCCTTCAGTGTCTCGATAGAACCACCAGTTTGCTGGTCTTTGACGTTGCCAGCTAGACCAGTCAGGCCTTGACCCTTCCTCGATCCATCGTGAAGCTCTTGCGAAGTCTGACCTTGACCTGGGTGGCCGAGACCGGTGTGAACATCACCTGAGGTGGCGCCTTGGAGAGTATCGGAGGCTTGATGGTACATCTTTTGGTTGTTGAGGTCGGGGTTGGGTTGGAAGGTCTTAGAAGCTGGGGCGGTGCCGGCGGGAAGTGTTTGTGCGTGAAACTCGGGGACGGCATCGTTACCAACTAGTTTTCCGGGTTGATGCTGAGGCACATCAGTTAAGTCCAATCATATCAAACAATGAGAACGAGCAGTGTTAGACGTCGTTTTGTATTTGATCTCGGAGAGGCTGGAGTAGGTTCTTCTCTGGATGGATTCAGGAAGAGCAACAAATTGCACTTACACCACCACTCATAAGGGGCTCACTGGGCTTGACGTGTCCAGCAAACTCGCGTCCATCGCTGACGGCATCGGGGTTCTGGTTCTGGCTCATATTTGCAAGATGTGCTTGATGTGTGAAGGCAGTGATTTGAAGTGATTGAACAATATGCTGTCGAATTGCTGGAGTACTTGAGCTGAAGTCTTTTGCTTCAAATAAGAATGTTCCAATTTGGGGCCTTCTATAGTTCCATATGATAGCGTCACCATTTGACGTCGAGCTGATGTCATGCCAATGCCCACTAGATCAACCATCCACGGTGTAAGACTATACCGAACTGAGCGGGTACCTGACGTCTATTATGAACTCCGTAGCGTTGCATCTGAGCAGAGTCTTGCTCGTGATCGCCGATGGTGAAGACTAGGTGCTGTCAGGTGCTATATGTGAAAGGATCGGAATGCCGTTCCGATATTTCCGACCCTTTGACTGTTGCTTCTCCCCATGTATTACGACATGACGTTTACATCCATCAAAAAGGAACATCGTTGAAAAGTCCTACAGTCATTCAAGTCCTTGATGTTTCACAAACACAGAGAAAACGCTAGCCTTCGGCGATTACGTAGGGATACAGTAGATATGATTGTCGTGACTCGCAACAGCCTAATCTTACATAGACGCGACTGTTCTATGTGAGTATGAACATCGTCCTTCACGCCATGGCTCTTTTGGAAGGCCCATAATCAGTCCTACGTTTGTACATGTTGAGGCATACTGGTGACCTACTGGAATCAGCTTCCCTAAAGGAGCTGCCTAAGACTTAGCTAGGCAGTCCTCACAATCTAGCAATAGCAGCGTTCTCATCTGGTCAAGGACCAGCAATGTCCCCTAATGGAACACCTCGTGTGAGGAGTGATTAGTATCAGATGTCGTTGAGCAAAAGTGTATTTCATCTTTGCAATGAACGTGATCATAGTGTCATCCTGTGAGTGTTATGCTCGTACCATAGGACGAAGCAGAGCAAAGACAGCGAATTAAGATAGTACCCTAACTCTCGTAAGTGTTTCATATTGCTGTCTGTGATGGTATCAAGAGCGCGAAGGCCCTCAGACGCTGTATTTCTCTCCATAGAAATTTTGTGCCGTGTCTGTATCTTGGATATGCCTCGTGGGTATCGTATAAGGTCTCGTTCCCATGCAACGTCCCCGATCCTTGCCGCTGTCCTGCCGGTTGTTTCTGCGCCGTAGGCTTAAGGAAGGGCTGGATGCCTCTTGCTAGTCTCTGAATCATTCCTCTTCCTGTATGAAGGGGTTCGGGATCTCTTCGCTTCCGTCCACGGGCGAGATGACGACTAGGAGGGTGCCGCGTGCGACAATGAGGCCGAGCTTGCGATACCGGATGTTGCCGTCCTCGTCTACACAGGGTCAGATGTATTCGCGTGGAGACAGCGGAGGGGCACATACCAGTCAATGCTTCCTTGACCTCATCTAGGACGAGGTTCATGAGTTGGTCGTAGCCTTTGAGTGTGCCAATGACTGCAACAAGTTAGATTCTAGTGCGCCTTCGCAATACATCATTTCCTGGACCCCGCCAAGATGCGTACCTTCTCGTCCTCCGCTGAACTTGACTGTGATCTGCTTGTCCATGTACTTGCTCAGGTCAAGAATGTTCTCCTTCTTGGGGCGCTCCGTCTGTCCCCCAGCACCTCCAGCCTGTGCACCGCCACCACGGCCACCGCCCCTTCCGCCGCGGTCGCCTCCTCGACCTCCACCGCGGCCCCGGAATGCGCCTCGCTCAGACATGGTATTAGCGTGGAGAGAAAGAGAGGCGATTTGGATGTTGGAGCGTATGGTGAGGTGCAGCTCGGGCGGCCAGTAAGACTTGGTGGTCTGTGCCGTTCCGGGAAAGGCTCCTTCCTCCAGGGCGGCCACCCCACATCCCGGTCACGTGCAGCTTGTCTGGCAGGAGGCGTCGCAGGGGTGGAAAGATGATTTCCGCCATTGCTTCCAGACCTCCGCCGTGCTGTGGCGCTTGGTTCTTAGCAGCTAGATTCACCCAGGCCCACGCGTCCTGCGGCATTTTTCGTCATGCCGCCAGACAACGACGACGACGACGACGCCAGCCCAGGGTCGCTGCCACCGTCCTGGCCTCCAATACGGTACCATGAAGCACCTCACACACTTCTGCCACAGCCGGGCTAGTTTCAGCGTCGCCCGTGGCCGTGGTGTGGCTGTCTGTCGGAAAGTCGGCAGAACCTGAATCGCCCGCGATGCGCATTTATTGCACCTCAAAACGCCTGGGCCGCTTTTAGCTGTACACCACCAGTGATTGGCTGGGAGGGCCGCTCTTGGAAAGCTCTTTCTTATTTCCGGTACGATGGGTGCTTCCTTGTCCGCCCCTCTGCTTTCCGTTCGGGGCTCTTGAGCCACCGAGCAGCCGTTTGGCTTTCCACCCTCGCCTTTGCAACTCTCCCAACCATTCCCTCGTGCGTTATGTATCTTGTCCTGTAAATTCGGGCCTTCGCGACTAGACGCGAGCGCCCTGTAGTGTGCTTGTGCTGAGTTGTTCGAGCCTAGCGTCCTCCGCTCCACCCTCGAATCTTGCCATCCGTTCATTCCGCCCTCGTAGTAATCACCAACCCGGCATCCCTCCAGGCCAAGGTATGGCCAACCCGGAATCGCACGCTGCGGCTGAGCGCACCATGCCCTCGCATGCGACACAGCACCATGCGCCGTCTCTGCCCAGCGACCTCAAGCGCAAACGCAGTCCTTCTCATGAGATGCACCTGGCTTCGCCCGCGCCCGTCCCCAAAGCCGCTAAGACCCACAACCACCTCCAGATCAACTACCTCGCCAGACACCTCGAAAAGGACCTGCCGCTGATTACCAACGATGACACCCTGCCCAACATACTCTCCGTCCTCAGCGACTACCAGGGCGTGCTGGACCGCCACGAGAGCATGGCCTGCAACCTGGGCGCAAGACCGCTGGGACCCATCTTGATCAAGCGATTCGAAAGGCTGTTCGACGGCCCCCCACGAGTACTCAAGAGCCATGGAAAAGACGGGACGACGGTGACCTGGCTGGACGTGGTCGAGTTTGCGCGCAACAAGCCGGAGCAGTTCCAGCTGGACCAGATGAGCGAAGGGGTACGCGTCTGCCAGTTCTACACCAAGCAGTGTCGAGTCCAGATCTCAGAAGAGGACTTCGTATTGATATCATCGGGCATTCCGCAGAAGATGATTCCTCCGCAACCCATCATAGAAGATGAGGAGAAAGAGCTGGGCACCATGGAGATTCTAGAGAAGAACTTGAGCCAGATATGCTCACTGGCCGATCAGGGTGAGTCTGACCAAGCACCATAACTAGCATCTAATTCGCTAACCTTCGACAGTCGCTGCTCGCACTCGGCAGCTCAATCACAGGCTTAAGGGTCGTAAGCAGGCCATCCTCGATCGAAGAGCAACCGCAAGTCCCGCTCCTCCCATTCCTCGCCCTACTAGCCCCTCCAACGTCGCACTCATGAATGGCGGCAGCTCGAGCGCCCCGAACTTGGGATACAGCCAGGGACACGCTCAAGCTCATACCCAAGCCTCGCAGACATCACCTGGTGGTAGTGGTGGCTTCGTCGCAGTCAATGCGCGTCAGCATCGTGAAGCCAATGGTCACGGGCACGGCCACAGTCATAGCCGCGGTCACGGTACTTCGTCGTCCACCCGTCATGAACTCCTAGCCAAGTTTCATACAACAAATGGTCGGAGTTCATCCTCGCAGCCACCAAATAGCACTGCCGATGCACGGAGACCGTCCATGGGCAGCCATGCAGTCTCTCACCCATCTACTCCTGCAACAATTCCAACTAGGGCTGTCCCGAAGCCCGCCGATGGCCCTCAGGCTCCGCTGCAACATATTACAAGGCCACCTCAACCCCTCAATGAGTCTGAGCTGCACTCCATGATGAACTCGCCTGTACCGATACCGAACACTCCCTCCAATCTCCTTCCCGCCTCGAGTCAACGCGCCAGTCAACAACCAGAGAAGGATGACGGAGGCCCTTTCAAGGTTGAAATGGTACACAGGATGGAAGGTCTAGCCAAGGGTGAACGCATAATTCCACCGTGTGATCGCTGTCGGAGGTTACACATGGATTGCCTGAAGAACCTCACGGCATGTGTGGGGTGCACGAAGAAGCATGCAAAGTGCTCATGGAAAGAAGTCAAAGAGGGTGAGTTACGCGGTGGATACACCTACCCGCCCGGTACTACCAGCAATGGTCAGAGTGAGACTAGCGATCATGAGAGTGGTGATCGCGCAAGTACGGGAAGTCCTGGTGCGATGATGAGTCCTTCACATCATGTGCCAACACCATCGCATATCTCACACAGCAACGGTCAGCACACACCTCAGCATCAGCAAGCCCACCACCAACCTTCAGATCAACATACACAGCCACCTCCACCACAGCGCGATGGCTCACACGATGCACGGGTACCATCAGGCCGTAACACCCCACATGAGCGGGAGCGGGAACGAAACGTCGAAACCCAGCTCCAAGAAGCTGCACAATCTAGCCTTGCACATGCGAACGCTCGACTGGGTGGGTCCGAAGGCAAAGGACCTGACTACCCCAATCAGACCATGGTTGCTTGAACCATATTACAACACAAACACTGACAGCTGGAGTCTTGTGAGGGCCGATATCAGGGTTCCATTTCTTTGTACATTTGTTGCATGATACCATATTCGCTCTCGTTCTGATTTCGAGGCTTGGGAAGCAGGATGTTTCTTTCTTTATATATCAATCTGCTCTTCATCACGAACCATAAACCTTCAATCTTATTACCATCAGAGCTATCTTGTGCATGCATCGTATCAAAGAGTCTTGATAATGGATTAGAGAGCATGTGTGAAAGAAGATCTCAGTGTAGCCGCCATCAGTAGATGTGGGTATCTTCTTATTTCTTCCTCGCTATCCAGAACGAAGGGCGGTATGTATTTTGCAGCATACTCCGGGTGTTGGAGATGTATCCCGTCTCGATAGTACCATGCTCTTGTCTCTCCATTACAAACCCAAAATGCTCAACTAATGCAATTACTTCGTCATGTGTGAGTTCTACCGAACCCGGATCACCAATCCCTGCGTCCACATTGGCTCTCGTTTCTCCATCCTCGGCCAGTTTACCTTCGTCGTTCACTCTCCGTGGTGGTGGATGCCACAATAGTGGACCAAGATTAATCCATAAGCCTCCAGGTTTTAAGCAGTTACGAACAGCTTCGATATAGCGAATAATATTCGGCGCAGTGTCGATGAAGAAGACAGTCGCTACTGCATCGAATTCATCTGTATAGTCGTGCCGACCGTAGACAACGCAAAAATCGCCTGTTGATATGCTCATTCGTTCACCGGCTGGAACTCTTGAGGCCGCTGCTTTTGCTAATTCTGTCGCTGGATGTATGTCCGGTACTCTGACGGTTCTCAGCTGGTCTTCCCGAGAGACGTGGTTTGAGCTGTTCAGTGCCCAGGGAGCAATCTTGAACTGTCCAGTACTTTTTGTGTCATTCAAGACCAACGCGCTTGCCATGAGCATATGGTAGGAAATCTCATTTCCCTCGACACTGAAGCCTGCACGGCAGATATCGAAGACCAGACGTCCCAGCCCAACCCCAGGAACCAGAACTTTAAGACTTGCGCGATCCAAATCTGGGGTGGTACTGCTTCTTGATGCAAATTCTTCTTCTACTGCCGCTACAACGGGATCGAAGCATTTGACCCTCTCCGCATGCCCTGCTTGACTCCACTCCCTCCAAAACTGGTTTACACAACTCCGTGCCTTAACCACATCACCCTGACTCGTCTTTGCTCCAAGCTCATCCATGATAGTGTCGAAGACCTTGTGTTCGTCGCATGCATATTCCTCTGGCACAATTGAAGCCACCCAATCACTGTCTAGAGTGGGGGCTAGGAAGGCTTTGAAACCTGCTACGAAAATAGCTTCTGCTAGCTCGGCATTGCTGTCAATCAGGTCGTCTATTTGAGAGAGCGTAGACAGGATAGAGAAGGGCGGGCGGGATAGCAGTGTCCAATGCGATTGTGGGAGGGAATAGAAGGCTTGGCGGCGCAGGTGTGTCCCATTGTAGTGAGCAAGGCGGCGGTAGGAGCTGCGGGGATGTCAGCCACTTGTCTTCCGGTGTCATCTTGGTGAGGCACGTGTGAGCATACCGAAAAGAGTCTAAAACTGAGAGGATGAGATTTTGTTCCTCAGGGTCTGTGGTAGGGTCATAGGGTTCTCGCGATGCTGCTTTCATCTTTCATGCAGAAAAGGTTGATGATGCCTTGAGTTTCGTAAGTGGTCTGTGGCTTTGCTGACTGTTGCAATTGTTGTTTGTGTTCGCTAAGTCCTTTGGGTCGCTACTGTCTCGTGACAGGCTTCAGGGTGAGGTTCGCAGTTATTGCCCCACCTGCCTCGGTCCTCCATTAACATCGCGACTTGACTCTTCACGCTTGCCTTCAACACGCGACAATGGCTACTGCAATCATGGACGGCATCACAACGCACGCGCTCACTGAAGTCTCATTCCCTCTCCCAAAGGCACCACATACAAATATACATCTCCAGCTCACGGACAACGGCCCAAACTTGTTGCTCTTCCTCACGACTGCTGCAGCTGAGTCTGCGACTTCTGCACCCCTTGGTTCCTTCGTATACGCCATGCCTAACGTAAATATCATATTTAATAACATCCATCTTGCAAGTACATGAGCTGACGACGTGCGCAGATGGCCAAACCTGCTGAAGCACTTAGTACGCCGCTCTTCACTCACGGCGGCACTCTAGATTTCACGACTCGTCTATCCAAAGTGCTCGCGCGTAAGACGGGAAAGCCCGTATATGTCGGAAACTCATCCAGTTTTGCCAGTGCAGGCATGGGTGGAACCGTCGAAGAAGAGATGGAAGCGTTCCGGAGGGTGGTTGAGGTTGTCATGGGCTTGCTGAAGTCGGAGAAAGAGTAGGCATAACAAGCATGCTTCGAGCGAGTTAAAGACATAACTTTTGCATGGTGGAGTCGGGACTATTATAATGTGCTATGGTCTAACGTCACAGGATGCAAGGGTGGAATATGTTTGTTGATGGTATCATTCGTCCATAACGCTACACGACCGTATCCGCGCATTCCGCTTGGATGTCTCACTGCTCTTCAATCCACTTACAGGCATCGAAGCATTATTCGAATGCAACAGCGGCTTACTGCTGACCAAGCCTCTCCTTTGCGCTCTGCTTTGCCTCGTCGGAGGTGTTGGGGTTGTTCAGCGTAGCCTTAAGACCACCAGCAACGTTGTTGGGGTTCTTGTCTCCACTGGAAGAAGATACGGCGCTCGCATCACCACCGTTCTCGATCTCCTGAAGGACCTCCTTGGAGTGCTGCTTGGATTCGTCGGATGTGTCTGGAAAATGTCAGTGTTGAAGGCCAGCGGGACGTAGGCAATTTACTTGGGTTGTTGAGGTTTGCCTTGTGGCCTCCAACAACGTTTCCTGGGTTGGCAGACATGGTGATGTGTGATGGTGTTGGAAAGATTGTAGTGATGGTTGGAAGAGTTGTGAGGGTTGTCAGAATAGTAAATAGCTGGATTTGATAGTGAGTATGTAGCAGATGAACCCCGGTGTTCTTATACACGTCAGGTTCCCTCAAAGTAGCGTCATTTCCCTGTCTCGTGAAGGTGTGATGCAATGTATCGCACGATCGATTTCAGTCCCCTGAAGTTTGCTACGTCAATGATCGGGTGCCTGCTCAGTTCACTTGTACCTGAGATTGGAGCACTTTTCACATCCACTGTGCTAGCCGCTGCCGCGCAGACAGGAAGGTCTGGGCTCCAGGCACAATGTGGATGTCGCTAGCCGTTTGTGTTGATTGACGAGGTCATCGTGTAGGGGGCCTTCCAGGTACTCCCCTGAATCAGTGATAACTCAAGACGAGTCGTCATTGTGGGTGACCGTCATGTGGATCATAACATGGAGAAGTTTCAGGTACCGCCATCCGCATCATGGGCAATAGTAAATGCCATGTCTCCTGGATCGTAGACGCCCCACTTAATGAGCGATCGATCTGAGATCTAGCATGCAGGTTCCCGATTAGCGCCCAGAGATACCATCACATAGGCACGGCAAGTGCATCCAAGTGTTTTAGTTCAAACTCTCCAGTATTTCCCTGCGGCATACTACACAACCTCACCAATGAGGTGATCTGACTGCAAAGTATGGTTGACGTCATTGACGCGCGCATGTGATCTGGCGTCAGCGCGAGCACGATATTCGCGTCCAGTTTGGCATGCAGTCATCTCAGGTCTTGACCGCTCAACAATCGCGATCAGCACCTCCTTTGGCGTCTCGTATTTTCATCGGCATTGCAAACGAACCTATAACCTGTAGCCGTATATCTTTTCAGGCGCAATATTGCTTTTCTGTGTCCGTCATCATGTTCGTCATGCCGACGCTCTGACCAGCATCTGTGCGTTCAAGCTGACACTCGCTGCACACCGACAAGAACCGACTCAGCCGATACACTTCCATCTGTGAGTTCAGTGATGGAGCCACATCGTCCTGCGGACAGGTTGCTGTAGCTCTCGTCTCGTTACGATCCTGTACCCTTCGCACTGCTGGACAAGACTCTTGTCCTACCTACCTAGGTAGGTACGAACTCATGCCAACCTTGGTAATATCCACTCATTTGATCACCAAGAAGTCCTGGCTGCAACGCTGCTGAGGCATCTCCAGGCGGTATGAGACTACCTAGCCTATTACCACTTTCGTAGGGGATTCTAGTGATTCCATACTCTCCACTTGCGCTGCGATTGTCATCCTTCCCAGCGTGAGCAAAAGAACAACAAACGACGGGCATGCTCAAGAAGAAGGCACGGGAGAAAGGAGAAACATGTTTTATGCAGGAGTATGAGGCTCTTCGACCGCATGTAAAGATTCGTAATAAGTAGGTACACGGTTTCATTACCTCCTTTGACGGTCAATAGTTTTAGCTGAGGCTATCACATTACTACCTGTCCAAATAAGGCACGGTCAAATTTGAACAAAGACACCAAACAAGCAAACCCGCACTAACGTTTGACTACAGTTGTTGTATTGTGCAAGGCCACTCGTTACTCAGTATTCATTTAAACATCGTCATCAGTATTAACTTACGCACTCGTGCTGAATATGCCAGGGTAAGTCTTATTCACAACTTCGCCAGCTCTCAATGTAAAGAGCAATGCATTCTTTAGGCCTTAGTGATGTCTAGAATGCGTAGCCACGGTCATACAGCTCTTGCTAATGCCTACACTCGTACTAATAAAGACCAATGTATAGTACAAACGCTCAATTAAGATATACTTAAGCAGCCAACGAGTAGTATCTTTTTACCGATTCAGAAAAGCAATGACGCAGTGCTGAATGATAATGCTGTTTCGCCCAGTAAAACCTGATACATGATACCTATTGAGAACGTGCGCACTCGTTTAGTGTATGCTGCTCAGAACCAGGCGCATGGGATTGTAGACGTAGAGTCACAATATCGGTCGGTCCAAAGGGATTAAAATACTAGCTTGGGCTCTTTGATTCATCTCCAGCATCGGATATGCGCTAAGTGTTGTCGGCCGATAACCCACCCACTTGTGGTATGTTATTGAGGTACCTTTTGCCAATTGCAGCATGCGATAGAATAAGCCATCCAACAGATTGCGTAAGCGGGAAGGCCCATAACAATTAGGAAAACTGCTTAAGTTATGCTTACACAACCGCGTCTCGCGGCAAAATACCTAGGTACGTCTATTATTTGCAATGATTGCAAAGTCCGGTAATTAAGATAACTGTCTAGTAGTTGATGCTAATTAAGGGCTTTTAGGTCCCTAGGTCGTCTTGAGCCAGACGCATCTGCGCAACGAGTGCCATTGATCAACGTGTGGTTAGATCTTCCGGTCTTCGTTACCGAAGACCGTGTTAGGGTGATCGTAGATGAACGTGGGGTTTTGCAATTGGCATCGTTCGTTCAGCCTCTCCGTCATTCCACAGCGTTGGTTGATCAGCTCTGTCATAAATTTAATGGTATAGCGCTGCGACAGTACCTACACCGCTATAAATGTGCTCAGAGATATGTAGTGATCTAATGCTGCAGCTCATTTGGGCATCATTTACGGGTCAAATGGCGTTCCGCCTTCAGTAATCTTCTGGAAAGGATCTTGGAAAGATTAGTCTACCAAGCGGTATCCCTGCCATTCTTACGCCCTAATTCGACAAGCGAGCACAACCCTACCGCTGACAAAGTCTCCGAACACCAAAGCCCGCACGCATTACTGGATACCAATGCGTCGCAACTAATCTTCCATGCGACAGCGGTGACATCATGGAATACTAATCGGGTCACGGATTTCTGCATGACAGGATGCGATGCGCGGGCTAAGGCGTGAGCTTGGCGATAGCTGAGTAACATTCTCTCGTAGTGACTACACCTCGTGTTAAATCGTGTTAAGACGGCTAATATTAGCGACCGTTGGAGCCTCTGACTCGTCAGCGCATTCGACACGAGCATTGCAAGTATGGCTCTATTGGATTAGTGGCCAACCATCCAATGAATCTCGTAGTTGCGCCAAAATGATCATCTCAAATCGAAACATCCCGTCGGCTATACCGAGCTCGGTGGTCGCCAACCGGGGGCGAGCCAGATGCGCAACGGCAGAGTCGCGTGAGCGCTTCAAGTCACGAATACGACCCGTGTCAAAGTTTCGGCCGGTCTTTCACTGTGCCTGAAGATTTGGCATGCTTATCAGAGTGAGGACAAATGGTGGTTCTCTGGGAGCCACCCGATACGAGAAGGAACCAGAAAGAGACTTGGCCATGTATATCATCGGAGAAGTGGAAATAGCTGATGTAGTAAAGCACGACACAAGTCAGTGACACGACGCATGGCGGTAAAGACGTCTCTCCATGAATGCCTCAATCGTTGCCTATCCCGCCAAACAGACCCTGTCTAAATCTTCGCATACCGGTCGTCGTGCGTGCGGCTCAAATAAGCATCTGACGACAGCAACCCTACACTGTCCCGCTGCATAGTCGCCAACGGTGCATACAAATCTCTTCAGGCAGAGCGTGATCCGGACGCCACACATCTACAAAGGATCTCTCCGTGCACGCTAGATACCCACTCACCGGTCCCGCTGCAGTCACACCACCTTCTCCAACTGGTCGGGTACAGCCTTATGACCCAATACCGCATCTACAGTACCGACGCTACGGACGCTTGAGTCACCCGTATAGAAGAAACGATCTTGACTCCGAAGCGTGCAGGAACAAGCCACATACTGGATTATGCAACACGAGACCGGCTTGGATTTCTCAATAATTCCTCTGTTCAGACATCAGTCTTGCTATTTTCGACCTTTGGTGGTCGTAAAGTCGGGGAGCCAAAACTCTAGGATCTGGGGCCAAAGACGTAGTGTTGAAGATATAAGATCTGGGGCCTTCGGCTTAGGGTATCATCACCAGCTACCACGACAACCTAATCAAGACTGTCACCAACACGTTCCCAGACCTCTTCGACCAACTCTTGTGACTTTGACTAGTCAGCAGCGACGTCACACTCGAACCAGCTTACTTCCCAGGTCTGAGCATAAGCATACCTGTGTCTTCTCTCCTGGTATATGAGCGACCGTGTTTCCAAACCGTCTAGCCCGACAAGGAACCCACAACCCACCAGAAGCTACACTAAAGAAGTCACTCAGACGACCACCTCTTCTGCAGCACACCCGGGTCTGGAGGATACATCTCAATCGACCTCTGAACAACCCTTGTCAACACCCGTAATTGTCGTTACAAGGTCGCCCGCTTCTTCACGGACACAAACTCCAGAGTCGGGTGCTCGACAGGGTTATCCCCTTGCTATCCGTCATCGCTCAAGATCTAGTTCGCCGCTACAGCTTCAGAGACAGGAACGCTCTCCTACGCCTTACGAACGCCCACAGCGCTCTCAGTCACAACCCCTCGAAGCCTCAACAACTGTGACGAACACCACCATGTCTTCTTCGGGATCTTCACCATCGGGCACGTCTAGTGCTGGTAGTAACTCTGGATCAGGTCAACTTCCATACGCCCCGTTTCCATATCCAATGCCGGCCAATCCTAGGGGCGGCTCGAGCCAGGGAGGTCAAGGCAAATAGACGTCTTCTTCATCCCGGTTGCTCTTCAAGTCACTTTTCTTCTTCTGTCTGTCTGGTTTTGCATGGCATGGTTAAACTGCAACCCTGGCGTCGGAGATACCCTTTTCTTCTTTGAACTTGTATCATCGATTCCTTCATACACGGTGTACCCTTGTTCTCTCTGCAGCCACGTATAGCCTCGGTCATTTCAATTTCTGGCGCCTTCACTCTTGTCATGCACCCTCGACGACGACACAACTTTGTGTTCACCTGGCTGCGCTCGGCTTTCCTCTTGCGCATAGGCTTGCATGATTGGCGTCTACTTTTCCCTATACTGCGTCTGTCTCTTCTCAGTTCAGCTTTCTTCCAAGGATGCTTCGTTGTCGGGCCGTTGCCTCTCTGACTAGTGTGTCAACTATCGATAACGGCGGCTCGATACGAAAGCTCTTGGGGAAGGAATTTCACTCATTCTGATGAATCCTGTTTTTGATTATGGTAAGATTCTATTCTTGTATCCTCTGGAGTACAGGAGTGTGGGGACGATTCTATAGACTAGATACTAGATCACGTTAGCTCAAAAGAATGTACAAGATACTTTGAAGCTATTCCCCAAGACGGTCTATTTTTAGGTCCGTCCGTGTACTGCAACTCGTATTCAAAAGATGGCTCCGTGGAATGAAAGGATACGATACCGACAGCCACCAATGCTGTAGATACGATACAACTATCGAAGATGGCAGCCGGGAGTTAGACCAGGTGGATCGCATGAGGGGCCGATAGCTGGCTGGCGAGGGCACCACCACGCGCCAAGGCAAGACTGAGTAAAGCCGGGTGTCTGTGATGTCCAAGACGGAGCTGAATGGACATGTATGCCCGTCACGTATGGGTTTGTATAGTTGCGCTGGCGCGCAGTGTTGAAATGTAAGGTCGACGGTTGACGGGTGCTTTGAGGGAGCAGTCGGAGACGCAGGGCTCCCCATGTCACTGACTAAGCAGCAGCGCTGTTGCGGTCGGGCAGCGTCGCTCGTGCCAACTTTGCTGTACAAGTTGGTCGGCGCGACATGGCGACACTGCTGCTCTGCTCTGCTCTGCTCAAGTGACACTCCAGCCTGGATCACAAGCGTCAACCCCTCTAGCCAACGTGACGTTGCGACAGTTCCCCCAAGCGGTTGACAGCTGCCTTTTTGTCACCCGTGCGCGCGCGCGTCATCTCCGCAACGCCGTGTCCTATCCCCAGAGCTCCGCCGTCGTCTTCCCATCAACCACGACTTTCGCGTCGCTCCACAAACGCTACCATGGCACCATCACGGTCTCGATCGCCGCTGCTACCCATTCTCGCCCTCGCGTGCATCCTCCCATACTCGGCAAATGCCTTCGACTGCAAAGACATACTCGCTGATGGCGCGCACTTCAACTTCAAAGAGCTCGGCGGGCCGCACGTGGTCCACTACAAGGAGTCCGATTTCACCAAAGAACTCGAATGGAAATACAACTTCACAATCGACATCTGCAACTCTCTCAAATGGCACAAGGGCGGCAGTCTGGCCACCGAGTGCCATCACGGGGCCAGGGTGTGTGGCATCCGAGAGAACATCGACCTCAGCAAGGACGACAACTCCACCATCACCCCAATCGATATTGCTGGCACATACACGACCCAGAATGGGAGGAACATGGATGCCAAATTCGAGAATCTGGGCCACTCCAAGAGCAACAAGGACGCCGGACTAGAGGGCGTCCGGGCGACGCTAAACGGGGGCAGGTTCCCTTTCGACAGCAAGAGGGAGGGCGTGAACCAGCGCGCTATCATTGAGTTCGTTTGCGACAAGGAGAGGACGGGACTAGAAGGCGACGAGATGGACAAGAGCCCCCACGAAGACGGTGATAAGGATGACAAGGATGACAAGGACGACAAGGACGACAACAAGAAGGATGACGAAAAGAAACAAGACAAGCTGCGGCCAAGAGAGGAGAGCGGCAAGAGCAAATGTGAGGACAATGACAACAGTTTACGCTTCTGTGGTTATGACTTGGAGACGGAAGAAAAAGACAAGAAAGTCCAAACACTTCGATTGGAGTGGCGAACCAAGTACGCGTGTGCAGACGCGCCTTCGCCCGACGGGGGCTCGCACTGGGGCTTCTTCGGCTGGTTCTTCATCATGTGCGTCACCCTCTCTGAAGCTCAAATGTATGATCGTGCACTAACATACGTCTAGTCTTTTCCTTGCAATTGCTGCCTATCTCATCTTCGGCTCATGGTTGAACTACAACCGCTACGGCGCTCGCGGCTGGGACGTAAGTGTCCCTGTACGAACTGTTTCTGACACATACACTGACTTTGTACTTCTATATCTAGCTTTTGCCCCACGGCGACACGATCCGCGACATCCCATACATTGCAAAAGATTTCGCCAGGAAGGTCATGGGAACTGTTCAGGGAAGTGGCAGCAGAGGAGGCTATGCAGCCGTTTAGAATTGGCGATACTCCAGGGCTCTGTGGGTACGTGACTGGCGACGTTTATGTAGGATACATTGATTGAACATGGAAGAGCATACTTGGCGCTGGAGTTTACTGGGTTGAGTCTTTGATTGGCGCCTGAGATACTAACCTAGATCTTGTGAGGTGACGAATGAGAAGTTGCATGGACTACCTTTCATCATGGATACCTTGTTTGTCACATTGTGTTGGTGATGTGCCTCTCCATACCATCAAAAGTCGTTTTTCAGAAAACATTATCTGGCTGCATCTGATTTTGATGCGCTGTCACGCATTGTCGCATGTTTTACTATTTGAGTTCGTCTTCAATTTAAAGACTGGTTTCTAGAAGAACACTCAAAAACACTTTCGAACGAATGCCATACCTAGGTACAGTTGCCCGGTTCCCAGACTGTGTTCGCAATACTTTCACCAATGTCCATGTCTAGTCTCCACAAGAAATCTGTGCAGTTTGCTCCTGGTACCAACTTCGAATTGGACCATGTATATTATTGGAAGCGATATAGTCCCGTCTGTTTGGCCGAAAAACACAGCTGTCTCTCAGATCTAGGACAAGAGTAATTAGACACTAGCTTGATGGTTGACGATCTGGAGCAGCTTTTGAGCATCGAAGTACACGCTCTGTTGCTCGTCCGCGATAGGAACGGAGCGGCTGCTCTGTCCAACTCTCTCAAACAGTAGCTGCGAACCGGCAAGCCACTTCTCCCCGGCTCGAAAACTCTACATGGGGAACATTCAATGTGCAAAAAGGTTTCAGACATCTTCGAAGACATACTCCAGCGCAACAGAGGTGGCTTCTCCAAAGCCGCTCGAGATGAGTGGAAGCAGGCCAAGGCGATTGTAGTTTCTGAAGATCAAAGTGTCAGCTTTGTAAGTTTCCAGCTCGTCAATGGTACTCACGAAGAGCTAAAAGCTCTCGAGTCTGTACTCGAGTTGCGTCGAGGTGCAATCTAGATGCAGGTGTGGGTGGACACTAGCATACTGGTCATATAGTCGCAATATAACAACATGGTTATCTAGGTACAATATTCAAAGGTCATGCAGCTTGTATAGACATACGTGCAAATGACTTTCGGATGAGACTTCTTTGTTCATACAGCAGAAGCAAGTATCCACAATGACCAGATGTCTCCATTTGGTAACGTGGATGTATCAAAGCAATGATCAAGAGTTGACAAGATCATTCTTGAAAGAGCGGAAGAATATATATCAATCGATTGTGAGTATTGATACAAGTGGGTCACGCCACAAGAACTATACTAGTTGACTTGTGTACTTACAAGTAAGAAACAGACATCGTACTTTAGAGAAGGTCTTCAAGGAACTTTGGTCGGGATGACCAGAGTAGTGACACTGATGATGCTGAATTCAAGAAGGTCAAAGGATGTGAGCATGGGAATAGCAATCAAGAGAGTGCGATTGGTAAAATTCCCTATAAAAGAGACGGCAAGCCAAGAGTGAATATAAAGAAGGGTGCATTCCACGCAGGGTTGAAAGTCCTCAACCAAGCAGATATGGGAATGGTAGCACGATCAACGGGATTCCTGTCATTACGAAACATATCGTTCGCTATGCCGTTTCTGGGATGAATCATTTGTAAGCACACGAATCTACATGTACACATACCTTTGAAACACTGTTTTGGTCTGTCAGCTTTTCACTAAGATCCGTTGCTAGATAACGACCTTTTCATTTATGGGCTGGAATATGAATATCTAAAGGGAAACGGAAATTCAGTAATCCCTTACCAGTATTCACCTATCGTTGATCACCATCTCCACAACGACCGTCGTCATGATCTTGTCGATAGCCTCAAGCACTTCTGCCGCCATCTTTTCGCCGGAAAATGAGCACCAATTCTCCAATAAGAAGATCAGTACTGTTTGGCTTTCCATCTGGTGTCATCAACAATCACATGTGATACTGCCATGCCATTGTATACTAACGCGGGAAAGAAGAAGTCATCAGTTTCAAACATGATGAGGAACAAGAAGCCACCGAAACTCCTTAATCAGAAGCGGCCACAGGATTCACTCTTCAGACATCATCGCTAGTGGCTGTTGACTAGTCTGCGAGGTGGGAATGCATCTCAAGTTCTTCAGTCGACTTGCACGGATGTTCCAGAGATGCGGCGGCCTATAGTCGCAGTTGCGCATTCCTCAGGTGTACTTGTTAATCAAACAGTGTCGGCACCTAGCACGCTGCCAATCAATCCAACATGTGGAATCTCTAGAGTGTGTCAGGAAGTATAAGAATCTTAGGACGACCAAAATCTAAATAAAGTCGTTGTGTGTGCGTGACCAACAGCTTCCTAAGGGCAATACACAGTGCAGACATAAAAAGAATATCTAGCGAGGATCATCGGAATTTTCTCTTATAACAAACCTGCATTCAAGCAAGAGTTGGCGTCGCGCGAAGTGGCGAGAGCGAAAGCCGCTATAGCTCGAGCGTGAAAGAAGACCACCTTCACACCAGACACAGTGACCTTATTTCGTCCGCAGCGCCCCCCGTCTTCGGTGCATTCTCGGGAAACGCCTATTATGAGAGCTTGGTAGACTCGCCGCTCTACTTGGCTTGAAGTGAATCGACACACCAAGAGTCTACTCCTCCATAACTATCCTTTCAGATCAAAGGTCTACTCGAACCGTGTCATGGCCGCAGTTGACGCATCTTTTGCAAGTTCCTCGGGCCACCTAGTCACCGCCAGGAATACTGAGCCTTGATTCTGGCATACGGTCGACCTCAGGATTGATCAACCAGTTTCTGTAAAAACGCCGAGACAGCTAGGTGAAATACACTAGAGTTGTTAAAATGTTACGGATGCACTCACATTTCTCGCTGACGGGCGACGAAGATACAGTGCGGGTCATGAGTCTGTTGATCCTGGATAATGTGGTGGAAAAGGACAGTCATGGCGACGAAGAAACGGATCAGATAAGGTGGACATATTGGGCCAAGTGTGGCAACGAGACCACGACTACAATTACTAGCGTTACTGTCCCATCAGCCGGGCCTGTTGCCAACGATGCGGAGCGTCCCCGGAAAAGTCGGAAGTCCGCTGAATGTAGAATAGTATCGTCCAAGGCTGCATAAACGATTGGCTGGCGCGAAATCCAATACACACAGCTTAGCTTCAATGTTTTGCGTAAACTGTAGATGCTTCCTATGGGGGCACAAATGAAGTCCTTCTGTGGATAAGTGTGACATAATGTGGACCTCATCATAAACGATGGTAGGAGGTTAAAATCTTGCAACCAAACGAAAGTCCTTCCATGGACGGGACTATGCATCAGGTTCGAGGCAGGATCCACGGCGCGTGGACGAAGTCCGCCGGCCTCACCGCTCACCGTCTTCATGTTGAGCATCAGTATATGTTACATTAAAGCGAATCTGCTGAGATATGCACGGGATATAGAGTCAAGAGCAATGATGCACCAAGACGACCACAACTGCGTGTGGATTTTAGGCTGCTGCCAGGTCCGAGCTTTCGCGCAAAACACGCTACCCCATCGCAGCCTTGCACTAGGGTGATAGACTTCCAGCGCTCTGACATGTTCATCGTAATATAAAGAGCACAACGCGTCCTTCGGTAGGACTGCTTCAATAGCGATTTACATGGCTTTGTTTGCACTCCCGCCGGAACTCAAACTCAACGTCATCGAGTTTTTGGATCCCGACTCGACCCTTAACTTTGCACTCACGTGCAGAGACCATGCGACACTTGCGAATTCGACGCTGAAAGAGCACGGAAGACTGCTATCGGAATGGAAAGTTGTTGACACTACAGATGTGCGGACGCTCCTGTGGAGAGTACTGAGAGAGGTGTTGATCGATCCGCGTCAAGGCTGGTACATCAGGGAACTCAATCTTCCAGCGACCCGACAATACAACTGGAATGTGAATGAAAGTTTGTATGGCACCCACCCAAACAACGGCTTGAGGCCGTCCGAAAAAGATAAGGGCTTGTTCATTAAGGCGGCGAGAAATCTGCGTCACCTGTATCCGGTGACGGGAACAAAGACCGTGCTGCGTCAACACCCGCGCTCCATCGAAATTCTGCCATTTCCTCAACTCACAATTGCCTCTATCGAAGATCGGATTCACAGAGGCTTTGAAGACGCTATCATTATACTACTGTTGCACTATTGTCCTTACCTTAACACTATCAGACACACTGTGGTACACGAAGAAGAATGTTTGGAGACGGCCCTGTGGCATATTGCCCACGAATATAAGAACCCAATGATAGCGCCGATGCTCCCTTTGAAACATCTCAGGACGGTCGCCATCGCCTACTACGATACGGAAGGAAGTGTCTCTCCCGACTGGGCCTGTTACTATCTTTGTATTCCTTCGTTGAAGATCTTTGCAGCGCAGGGGATGGGGAACTCGCCTAGTAGACAGGTGCAGCGCAGTCTGTTCCCAAATGACGCTGTACAGTGCTCCAACGTGGCAGAGCTATTCTTTTGGGATTGTCGATTTGATGTGGACGGTTTGGCAGTTGTTCTTGCAGCGGTCAGGCATCTGGAGAAATTCACGTATCACGGCGGTGGCTCTACAGTATCGGAAACAAGCTCCTATCAAGCCAAAAAGGTTCTGGAAGCGGTTGTTACATATGCTGCTCATTCGCTGGAGGAGCTTAGCCTCGGTCAGGGCTATGTCGATGATGATGTAAGACCTTGTTTCTTGATAGATTTCTTGGCTAATCACCGTTGCTAGCTTGGCCTTGACATTCCCGGCCCGACGGCCGTCTCACTTCGAAGCCTCCGAAAGCTTCGCATACTTGATTGCGAATGGTCGGTACTACGACCTGAAACGGAAGAAGAGGAAGAAGATTCACAACATGATGAACCTTTAGAAGAAGGATTTCATCGTGCGGAAGATGATGAAAAGACTGTTACAGAGTTCGACGTTAGAACAATCCTTCCTGAGTGCATTGAAGAGCTGCACTTAGTTGGTGAATTCAAAGTATATGAGGAGTGGGAGCGCCTAGAAGACACATTCGACAACCCAAGTGTATCAACTCCACATCTGACTATGGACAAGACATGCCTCCAGAGAAGCGACAGCGATAGGCGTATCGGAGACGCAGAGAATCGAGGGGGTGTGTGGTCACATCCCCTTACACAGCTCTTCAAAAGCCACGGATATTAAGTTTGAAGTCTATAAGTGTTGTTTGAAGCTACCTTGAATGCTATAGAAGAGGAAGTTACAGCATTAGTTTTATTGCATAGATCTAGATAACACCTAGATACCTGCGCTGTTTATTCGTATAAAAGTTTGAATAGTAGAACAATAATATAACATTGTATAACGTAGTTCACAAGCGAGTGACGCACCCAAGCGAGTGACGCACTTTTGCTAAGACCTCACCAAAACCACGACTGCGCACGACAGTGCAGCACCGTATAGAACTGTAATTAGAAATCGTAATAGACCATTCTACTCAGAATCTACTACTATATCTTGCTTGCATGTGCGCGAGTTGTGACTAGCCTCGCCGCAGCGTCTACAGCGTCTTTGCGACGGTTCGCCCACCTCAACGCGCACCCTCTTCTTCGCCTTCTTCCTATCGCTGCGCGCCCTAAACTCCTTTAGAGTTGTAAGTTAAAGACCTTCCTCTACTGTAAGGGTTCCCTCCTTCTGTACTCGCTTTCTTTTATACAATTTACGTCGCGTAGCGGCCTTGTTAGCTGCTTTAAGCTTAGCGATACGCTTTTGCGACAACACTAAAGCATGCGCTATTATCTCTGCGCCTTTAGAGAGGCTTTTCACCGCCTTAACTATTAAAGTAGGTAAGCTGTCTACATGCCTCTAAAACCTCTTAAGAACTAGCTTTGTTTAAGACCCTAACTCTAGGGTATTGCTTAGAGTTTGCGACTGCTAGGGACTGTCCTTAACAGTAGGTAACAGTAGAGTACGCAGGCAGACGTCAAGCATCGATATAACAGCGT